TAATACCTAATGTTTTGATGTTTTGTTTTGGTGCAGTCAATCCATGCTGCTACACCTATTAAATTAGATTTATATTACATATTTATTAAATTAAATAATCATTTTAGATTCCGTCACTTCACTTGAGAGTATTCTCTTGAGAATATTCTCTCAAGGATATTAGTAACTTTGAATCCTGAAACTAATTAGCAACTTGTGTATGTAACCCGTGGATTTTGCTGTCACCCAGAGACCAGTGACTGGTTGTGGTTTTGTGCCCAGGATTCGTCTTTACAGTCATAAATTGATGTAGCAGTGCCAAGAGGAATTTTCCTATGGACTTATGGGGCTGTAAAGATAAGTTGTTTGACTGTGTAATTTTTTTTGTTACTATCTATTTAATTGTTTAACTTTTGTTACTTCCTATTTAGTAGTATACCTTCTTCATATGCATATGATAAGGTAAATACCTTTGTGATAATTTAATTTTTGATATAATCTAATTCTAAAATATTGGGGAGAAGAAAATACATTACATGTTTTATTGGGTTTTTAAATAGGATTTCAAGAGTCTGACCAAACTCACTTTTTTTTGATATAATATTTTTGTTAATACAATACATTTGATATAAAATAATTTTGATATTGGGAAGGGAAATAAATTTCATGTGGTTTTTTTTTAAACATTATATAAAGAGTATTGAAGACTCACTTGTTTGGATGTAAGATAATAATTGTAATAGATTTATCAAGTTTGATATCTTTACAATATTGTAATTTGTATCTCATTTTAGTTGAACTAGCTAAATTTAAATTACTACCTTTTTGTGTTAAGACTTTGGCTACAATACGGACTATTCTTGTTGTTTACTGACATTTTATACTTTATTTGGCCAGTGGTAGTGACTGTTCGCTTGTTGAGGGGCTATTAGGTCCCATTGTATCTGTACACCATCCACTACCACTGTTATTTGGCTTTGCATTATATGTAAATTGTTTATATACATATACCTATATACATTTTTTATAAATATATTTATTGTTGCTATTTTGAGTTTTATTTCAGTTCTACTAACCAGTATATAACATAGCAAAACAAGATTATTATTTAGTATTTTTGTATTTCAGAGTATTATCTCCAGATTCATTTGTCACTTCAAAATCTCAACTATCGTTGAGTTGGCGCGCTTCTTTTCTCTTCTTATTGTTCTCTTTCTATAAATTTATTCCCAGTGACCTTCTTCAGTTGTATCACGTTTGATATTACCAGGTCTCATTTCTTTCTTGTCTCATTAGCTCATTAGCTCATTATCTCTTGTTATTGTTATTTATATCTTTAAAGCCACAATCCAGTGCATTGAAGCTAGCCCGAACACTCACTTGAGATTTAGTGTCTCTTTGGACATTTAAATTTGTTCCTCTGAGCTTAGCCATATCTTTAGTATTTTTATCACCTCTCTTCCAGTTCTTCTGGAATTTGGAAGTCCTACACTTCCAAAAACCCAATACTCCCGGAGTATTGAGCGTTTCAATGAAACCCACTTTATAGTTCAGGGACAGCGGTCGAAATTCGGCAGGAAGTCTGACAATGAAAAGCTTACACCATCTCATATTGATCAAACCGTAAAACGTCCAGTCAAGAAAATGTTTTGGGGATGTTTTTTATACATGGGGGTTAGATCTTTGGTGCCAATTGAAGGCATGATGAACAGCCAAAAATACAAATCCATGTTGGAAAAGTATTTGGACAAACAACTCCAAAAATGTCAACCCCAAGGAGGAGCGATTCTTCAACAGGACTCTGCTCCCTGTCACAAATCAAAGAAAATGATGGCATTTTTCAAAAATAAGAAGATTAATGTTTTAGGTTGGCCCGGTAATTCGCCCGACCTCAACCCCATTGAAAATTTATGGGCCATTTGCAAAGCTAGACTGCGAAAAATCGACTGTAGCACTAAAACAAAAATGATAGAAGCGGCCATTCAGGTTTGGTATCGAGATGAAAGGATATCTGACAACTGCCAGAAACTCATAGAATCTATGCCAAAACGGCTAAAAGCAGTAATTGCTGCCAAAGGGGGACATATTTCCTACTGAATGATGTAAGTTTACCTTTATAGTTTTGTCAAAATATAATTTTTTACTAAATAAACTGTTTTTTCGTTAAAACAGTCTATGATTCCATTAATTCGCACAATACTGCAGGTTCCGTCATGCGTTTACGTTCAGTTATAAATAAGATTACAAAAAATTCTTGATGTTGATCTTTTTCTAGTGCGTCTATGTTTACAGTCCGTCAAACTATAAATCCAGCTGAAAAACTTAGCTTCCGTAAGCAATTTTTGCATTTTGCCGAAAATGAAGTCAGTTTCTATAAAAATAAATAAATCAACGTTGCACAATTTTTGCCGTTCGTGACGATTCTCATAAGATCAATAAAATGTATCACTTCCATTGACCAATCGATGTTGAATTTCCATTGTTAAAGCCTAATCTTTAAATTCTATAGTATCAAATTTCTATTTTGAGTTTTGGCATTTGAAATATGAGGCATTTGAAATATGACGGTATTAAAATATAAAGATGGTGTTGAATGGAATTTGTAGCTGAAGTTATGTAGTTCTGAAGAACGTAACTCTGCAATAGAAATTTGTAATGTAGAAGTTTTAATTCTACATTACAAAGGCATATTTCAAATGCCTTATATTTTGTGCCAAACTCAAAATCGAAAACTGAAGTTGTAGGATTTGAAGATTGGGCTCCAGTAATGAAAATTCCATAGTGACCTATCAACGTTAATGATAAATTTGATTGATCTCATAAGTATTGAAAAAATGGTAAATATCGCGCAACGTTTATTTATTAAACAGCTTTATAGAAGCGGAAATTGGACCTAATGAGCATGGTAAAAAGTAAAGTTCGTGTAACCTTCTGGCTAAGGTCTGCTAATGCTAATGAGCTAAATAGCTAAGGCTAATGAGCATGGTGAAATTTTAAAGCTATTAAAGCCACATCAAATCACAGCTCTTACGAAGCTATTCAACAACATCTACGAGACTGGTTACTTACCAAAAGACGGGCTACTATCAATATTCATTTCACTTCCTAAAAAAGCCAACGCTAGAAAATGTGAAGAACGTAGATTAATTAGTTTGATGAGTCATGTACTTAAAATACTCAATACTATCATTCACTCGCGCATATACATTAAATTAGAAGAACACCTGAGTGAAGTTTAATTTGGATTCAGAGCAGGACTCGGAAAGAAAGAAGCACATTTTAGTTTGCAAGTTCTAATACAGAGAGCCAGGGATGTCAACTGCGATATATATGCATGTTTCATTGATTTCGAGAACGCATTTGATTAAGTCCCACATGGGAAACTAAACGATATCCTAAAAATATCAGGACTCAATGGTAAGGATATAAGACTGATCTCAAACTTGTATCTCCAAGAAAAAGCAACAGTACAAGTAGAATATGAACTGTCGGAGATCGTCACAGTCGAAAAAGAAGTTAGACAGGATTGCATATTGTCACCTGCATTATTTAACATATACTCAAAACATCTTTAGAGAGGGCTTGGGCCGAATCAGAAGATGGGATTGCTGTAAATAGTCAACTTCAAAACAACATTAGATATGCAGACGATACAATGCTCCTAGCAGATAGGGCGCAGGGGCTCCAAAGGATGATGGATAACATTGTAGAAGCATGTAACAAATACGACCTAAAACTAAATTGCAAGAAGACAAACATAATGACTATTAGTAAGACCACCGGCATAAATGGCCAAATTACAATTAATGATACACGGTTAGAAAGAGTGGAAAAATGTGATATTTGAGCTGCAATATTAAGGATACTTGGGATCACAGCTACAAAATAAAAACTCGTATTGAAAAAGCCAGAAGCTCTTTCAACAGTCTTAGGAAGATCCTCTGCAACTTAAGTATCAATATGCGTATAAGAATTTTTAGATGTTACGTCTTTTGTGTTCTCCTCTATGGAATATAAAGCTCGAGCCTTATAGAAGATGCCATAAAACGATTGGAGGCATTTGTAATGTGGTGCTACCACATTATTCAAAGGTAGAAGATTCTCCAGAGGCTAAGAAAAGACAAAGAAATTATTAACACCATTAAAAACAGATAATTGGGTGACTTCGGCCATATCATGAGTAATAATAAATACCGACTTCTACAGCTGATTCTACAGAGCAAGATTGAGGGTACGAGAGGCCCTGGACGTAGACGTATATCCTGGCTAGTCAATCTTAGGAAATGGACTGGCCTAACGTCATCTGATCTATTTCGAGCTGCTGTGAATAGAATAAGATGGGTCAATGTGGTTGCCAACATCTCTAGAAGATAGGCACATTTAGAAGAAGGAGCGGACTTAATTTTGCGGTCAAATGTAAAAATTGCGTATGGAAACTGTATTCTTCATCTTTAAAACGCCTTTTAATATTTGTCGATATGACATTGATCAAAATATATCGAATTTTTACCGTCTAGTTGATACAACTTTTATTTAAAACATTAATTTTGTGCGCATAACTGACATTCAAAATCGCCGGTTGCTTTAAGCGTTGTTTCTGAAAGAACGGTTAATTCTACACAAAAAGTGTTAATAGCATTTTTGTTTAAAATTATCTCAGCTATATTTCTTGTAAAAAAGATTTTTTACGGTGTATAGATTCTTGGTAAATGTCCCAAGATTCACATTCTCAGCAAAATTCAGCAAAATTTTTAGACGTTCAGTGGCATTTTCGGATCTGACAACTGGACTAATATTCAATTAGTGACTAATGAAGCGATTAGTTTAGAATTATCGCCGTTATTACTTTAGTTACCTTGGTTTAGTTGAAATTATTTTATTCAGATAAGATATCTAGCAAAGTTTTTCGTAAATCGACCTTAAGTGACCTTTGGCTTCACGTATTTGGTAGTTAAAGCGCCAATATTTTGACTTAACTGATAGTGATAACCCATAAACAAAACATATTCAATAAAAGATCATTTTAATTAACAAAATATATTTATTAAATTATGAGATTTTACATATTCAGTATTAAAACATACTAACGAGGTAAATCAGTCTTTGGAGTTCATACTCTTGAGTATAAACAATGGTATATTTTCTTAATTGATAAAGAATAAAATAATTCATTTAATAATATCATTTGTTTACTACATTATTGATGTAATTTGTGCAGAGAGGGTATCGTCCCGTTTAAAATAATAATGATGTTAAAAAGTTTATGCAAATAAATTAAAAAGAAGGAACAATTTAATTTTCTTACTATGTAGTAAGAAAAAAATCACTGCAATCCATAAAATCCACGTTTATTTAGTTATTCTCATTTCTAGCTTCCATTTTTACTCTTCTCCATCATAGGCTATTAATATTTGGCCATATGCCTAATATATTGCACATTAAATGCTATAAGCTATCTGTAAGCCTACTATTGCATTTTCTTTTCTAGTGTTTTATTACTTTTTTTATTACTTAGGTACTGAAAAGCAATTGGGAGAGGCAGCACTCTTGCCAGAGTCCTTTAGGTACATTAAATCCTCTTAAGACGTGTTTAACTTATTTATTTCAGAGACTGAATTTTCGGTGATTTTTCGACTGTTTTTTTCGATTAGTTGATATAATATGAATGTTTTATCTCGTTTTGATCTTCCTGATCGAAATCTATTCTGTTCTGCTACTTCATTGATGTTATCTTCTTCTTCTTCATGTACCATGTCCTTTCAGAACGTTGGTTACCATCATAGCTATCTTAATTTTATTCACTGCCACTCTAAATAGCATGGTTGTATCAACACCATACCAATCTCGCAAGTTCTTCAACCATGAGGTTCTTCTTCGTCCTGGACTGATGGATTGATGTTATAGTATACACAAATAAGGTTTGTTCTGGTGTGCTCGCATAATCGATTTGTAGTACTGCTCCTAATCTTCTTTTCTGTAATTGTTGCCCATGTCCGAGCACCCATTTTATAGACTGAGAGAATCCATCCTAGAAACCATACTAAAACATGAATACATAAATGAGGAGTAAAAAGAGTGCAGAAACATCATAAAAAAACAGCTGAATAAGTACTAGACATGGAAGGTTAATTAAAAAAGAACAAGAACGAATGACTGGAGAATGTGAGGTTCTAACAGAAAAAAAGCATATTTTCTGACGGAACATGGACACAAAACCCGACAGTTAGAGGAGGAATGTAAAAAACTAGATAAAATAGGAGACAACCAGGTAGAGAGGAAAAATCTAACAATAAAAGAATACAACACTGAGGGTGTAAAAATATTTACGCACTTAGGATCCTTGGTTACATCTGATAACAACATCGCAGATGTAGTGAAGATTGAAAAATTCATAACCCATAAATGTTACCATGGTTTAATTAGGCAACTAAGATCAGGTTACGTCGCAAGAAAAACAAAATGCTAAATATACAAAACCTTAATAAGACCGGTACTCATACAAGGTTCAGAAACCTGGAGACCTGGAATTAGGTACCTTTGAAAAAAAAATTTACGACATATATACAAGGTCACGAAATAAAATGGAAACTGACGAAAAAGATGTAACTTTTAACTACAAAATATATTAGAATCCGTACATTTATATGGAAATAATTGGGGAAATCAAGATAAACACAAAATACTCAAATAGGTGCTAGTAGGAAAAAGAAAAAGAGAAAGACCAAAGTTGTGATATATCAAACAAAAAAATATATATTACAACCTTAAAAATAAAAATTCTAGAAAAAAGCACGAAACAGATCAGACTGGAGAAGGTTCTTGAAACAGACCGAGGCTCAAATAAAAACAATTTTTGGAGTCATCTCATGTTCTGCGACTACATCTTCTGGTCCAGATGGTAAGCCGTTGCAATTACTTAGGTTCTGTTATCACAAACAATGGTGGATGCGAAGAAGATATACGCCGACGCCTTACAATAGCCAGATCAGCAACGGTCAAACTTAGATAAGATACGGACATAACCAGGAACACGAAACTGCGTCTAGTACAGACGCTTATCTTTACTATCGCTACCTATGCGTCGAAAACTTGGACCATTAAAAAGTCCGACTCACGACGTATAATGGCCTTTGAAATGTGGGCATATCGTAGAATGATGCGCATACCCTGGACAGCACATCGCACAAATGTCTCAATATTGAGAGAACTCGACATCAATACTAGCCTTACCACAACCATCAACGAAAATATATTGAGGTACTTTGGACACATTACCAGACGAATGGAGAGGTTGGTGGTTGAAGCCAAGGTAGATGGTAAAAGAACTTGATAAAGATCGCTACTCCGATGGTAAGACCAAATAAAGTGCGCTACCGGTTACTCTCTGTCTAAGACAGCACACCGCGCCCAGGAGAGAGAATAATGGATAGCAACCATTCGTCAAATACCATAACGTCACCACATCCTTACGAAGGATAAAGGATAGAGGAGAAGGAAGATACCTTTTCTGACAATTGGTACTAATATTCGTCGACTACGAGAAAGCATTTAATACCATAAGCTAGCAAAAAATGTTAAAAGCACTGACAGAATGCTGAATAGACCATCGCTACACTAACACAATCAAATATATCTACCAAAATGCCACAGCCAGCGTAAGACTATCTGAAAAAGAAACAAATAAATTCTGTATACAGTGAGAAGTACGGCAAGGAAACATCGTCTCTCCAAAGGTATTCACGACCCTTTTAGAACATATTTGCAAGAAGGCAGATCTGAACGAGCATGGTATCAACATAAATGGAGAGAAGGTCAGTTATTTGAGATTCTCCGATGAAGACATCGTCCGTATAGCTGATCGTCTGGATGGTGCAGTAATAATGTTGGAAAAATTACATCACGCTTTCTTGGAAATCGGATTCAAGATTAACATGAACAAAACAAAAATAATGACTAACATAAGACAACCGATAGATAAAATGTCGAATGAAGACAAAGACAAGAAGCACTACGCCCACCAACTAGATCTGAGACTGACGACCTAAAGCGTGTTCGCGGTAACTGGATGCAAGCCGCGCAAGTAAGAGATAGACGAAAAGAGCTGAAGAAGATCTATGCCGACCAATGGACGTCAACAGGTTGATGATGATGATAAATTTTCTACATTGAGGTACCTTTGATTTTTAGCTTTCTGTAGTATTTTCTAATGGGCTTTATATCTCCTTATAATGCTTACATAGATTATAAGGTTAGGATTATAAAAATTGGAAACAGCGGCGAAACAGGTCGGTCTAGTCATCAACGAGACAAAACCAACTACATGTTGGTTATAAAGGATCCGATAGCAAATGAGGAACGGGAAACAGTCTTTGGAAGTCATACCTTTGGACGTATTGACAACTTCACATACCTTGGGTCGCTATTGACTGCTACCAATAAAACAAGCGAAGAAATCAAAAGACGAATAAATCTTACAAATAGGGCATACTATGGACTCCAAAAGCATTTCCACTCAAGAAACATTCAAAGAAAAACTAATATTATTATATACAAAACATTGCTGAGGTCGGTCCTCACATATGGAGCAGAAACATGGACTCTAACGCAGAAAGATGAAACTTTTGGGAATATTTGAGCGTAAAATACTCCGCAAAATATTTGGAGCTGTAAACGAGCAAGGGCAGTGGCGCAGAAGATATAATTTTGAATTGTATCAGCTCTTTGATGAGCCAGATGTCATAACGTTCATTAAAAACACAGCGACTTAGATGGGCTGGACACATAATATGAATGCCAGAAAATATCATTGCTAAAAAGCTAACCACAGGAATACCTGTAGGAAAAAAAAGCAAAGGCCGACCGCGAATTAGGTGGTTAGATGGAGTAGAAACCGACTTACGAATATTAAAAATCAGAAGATGGCAACATGTTGCCAAAAACCGAACAGAATGGCGACGAGTCTTAGAGCAGGCCAAGATCCACAGAGGATTGTCGAGCCAAAGATGATGATGAGATTATAAGGTTAGATTATTAGGAGTGTTTTATAATATTAACTTTGTCAGCCTAATATACTGCAAATAATAATGTAACAGTTGTAACGTAATGCTAACAATAAATAATATAAACTAATGCCTTTACAACAAGATATAACTTGGTTTTGCAGTACTTTTGCTACCACTCTATTGCTACTAATCGTGAAATAAAATTCTTAGTACATAAACTTCTTTTTTAGTTCTAGATTAAATATTTTACCATTTTGTGCAATAGTAACATAACATAACTAAATCTCTGAGCGGCTAGATATTTTATAAGAGATCTATTAGTGCTTATATTAATAATAAAGATAAATAATATTAAGAAACCACAAATAAAATTTAACACAAATATAATGAAAACATCCCCACTTTATATAATAACCTCTCTGCTTTAATAATTTTTTAGAATTAAATCTAAATTTGATAAGATGCCTTCCTACTACCTCCACTTAAGATATATTGAATCTCGTGGACATTTTTGCCTGTAGTTTCCGGAAGAAACTTGTAAACAAAACAAATTGCTATTAAACACCAACCTGTAAAAAATCCAAATGAACCTGATTTACCTATTAGTTGTGTTAACAATCCAAAGTAGTTTGTAATAAAGAACCCTAAGATCCAACACATTGAAGCTGTAGCCGATGATGCGACAGATTTAATATTTCCTGGGAAAAGCTCGCCCATAACTGCCCACGGAAGGGGTCCGAAGCCTAGGCAATAGGTTATGATGTATACAACCAAACTTGCTATAGGTATCCAACCGATATTGGAAACGTCGCTTTGTTTGTCATCTTTAAGGTAAAAGAAGAATGCGAGGAGTCCTTCTGATATAGCCATTCCTATACCCGAAAGTAATAAAAGACATCTTTTACCCCATTTTTCAACGAGAAGGGGGGTGCAACCGCTTGCAATAATCTGAACTACTCCTATAATAATTGTACATATTTCTGGTGCCAACGTTACACCCGCGTCTGTGAAAAGATCTTGAGCAAAGAATAAGATAATATTAATTCCAGATAATTGTTGAAATGCTACCAAACCTACAGATAAAAACAATGCATTTCGAAGCCCTTTACATTTGAAGATATCAATAAAGCTTCCTTTATCTCGCTGCTCTTTTTCTACTTGTACTTTCATAACCTCCATCTCTTTTTGAACAAAGGATATTTCTCTTCCTCTTAATCTGATCAATGCGTCTAATGCATCTTTGGTGTTATTAGTTTGAAGAAGATAGTATGGACTATCTGGTATCAATAACAAAAATATTATCATAAAGAGAACAGGAGGAATTACCAATATAATGTTAAATGTTGCAATGCTTACGAAGGGTCCAATGGCATATGAAAATAGTAGTCCTATCACAATAAAAAATTGCATAAATGATCCAAGGGATCCTCTCACATCATCATCTGATATTTCTCCAATATACATGGGCAATACAGTAAATATTATACCCACTCCAATACCAGAAAGGAACCGTCCGATATAAAAGATGAACACGGATTTAGCAAATATATTTAAAATATATGTTACTATAAATGGCAACGTTCCAAATAATAATGTTTTCTTCCTTCCAATTTTATCAGCTAAAACCCCTCCTCCGATCGGTCCAATGGCTGCTGCTAGTGGTAAAAACGAACCAATCCAACCTATCTGAGAAGATGTTATTTCATGCTCCAACGGACTTGTAGTTATATTTTTCAGTTTGGGAATTTCTGGTGAAGTCCATCCAAAACCAGTTCCGCAAACGAAAGCAGCAATATTAGCTGAAACAAATATATAGAATAAAATATTTTATTTTTACATTAAACATAGTGAATTTTGAATATGAAAGAAATGGACAATTTTATTCAAGAAAATACATGAGACAAAAAAGTAAAACTTGGACGTAACACATAGGATATATTCATATTTATAAATTTTAAGCTAAATATTTTAACATGCTGCCTTGAAGCTGTTTCTGACGTGACTTCGTTGTTTCCACTACTTTTCTCCATTTTTTTCTCTCTTTGATTGTCCTTTCTATATTTCTAATTTCTATACTTCTTAAGTCTTTTTCCACTTGTTGTCTTCATCTCAGCTTAGGTCTGCCTCTGGGTTTTTTACCTGGTGGTTATTTATTCCATTATAATTGTTAACGTATTGCTCTTCTCTCTTCTAATTACATGTCCATACTATCTATTATATCTAATTGTTTGTGCTTTTATTGCTCTGTTGTTGTATGGTCTATGCCAAGGGTCACCAATTATATTCCCTGAGGGTACGTTTCGAAAACCTACTACATTTCTGCGGTCCGGACACTCAGCACTAAACCAGGCAGTGGCGTAACTGGAGTGGGGTTACCCAGAAACCCTCCAGTAGTTGTAACCTCCCTTAGGAGATCATCCTGGTTACGTAGTTGAAACCAGGCAACTAGGCCACCTCGTTTAGAAACGGGTATGAAATAAACTCAAGGAAAAAGATGTTATAAAGCTATTACATTGCTTTTTGTCCCGTCTTTGTTTAATAAATTTTTGCGGCGTAATGTTTCTGCTGCTTCGCTGGTTTATACAACTTGAGTAAAAAACTTTGGCAGTTTTTTACTCAAGTTGTACATTAGGCTTGAGTAAAAAAACTGTTGCTTAACATTGTTCTGAAGCTATTTTCTTGTGGCATTGTAAATTAATTACTATTTAACAGGGAATAAGCCACAATTAAAGATAAAAATACGTTTATTGACGTTTCAATTTCCACTTTGGAAATCGTTCTCAAAATACAAACAGTAAATTAAACAAATTTTGTTTTTTGTTACATAGTGAAAAATTCTTCTAATAATTTAATTTTATCTGACTCATTTATATTGACAATTCAGATATACATTATGCATTTTAAAGTAGAGGACTTTAAAATGATATTGCCAATATTGTTGAGTTGCGCTCCTGGGACGACTTTACTTATAAGATAGTTCATTCGATTACATGAAATCAACTTTAACTTGAGAATATCCGTCAGAAAAAAATCATAGCATGTAATTCGTCTTTAAAAAGACAAACACATGACACGATGACAGTAAAAATTCCTGTTAGTGATTCCATGGTAGATTATGAGGGAAAAACCAGGAAAAAAAACCTCATAATACTATCCCGACATTGTAAGTATTTGTTCGTGAATTTAGTTTACCTTCAACAAACATCAAAATCTGATTATATGTTACGTTATTTAAAAAACATAAATGATGTATCCTCTATATGTTACTGACTTATATACTGGTATTTTCTTATTAATAATTTCCTCTTTCAATATTGGTAACAGATCCTACTACATTCTGCCGAGGAATTTGCAACACAATTGGCCTCATTTAGCATAATTAGAGCCGCTTCTTTGATTTTTCTTTTTTTACCATCCGTTTCTTTTAGGACTACATTTGAATTATTCCATTGAATCCTATGTTCATTATCCCATGCTGTTCATTAACCCTATGTTCATTATTTATGGAAGATTTTGAAACAAATATCATTTCTAAACAAAATTTCAAACCACCAGTATGGTGGAGGTATGTAGATGATGTATTCTCAATATGGCCTCATGGATCAGAGTTGTTGGACACATTCCTAAATGATATAAACGATAAAGAAGAAACAATAACATTTACCATGGAAAAGGAATATAATAACACGCTACCTTCCTGGATGTTTTAATCTCTAAGAACGATACTGGATATGAGACTCAGGTGTATAGAAAACCAACACACACCAATAGATATTTAAATTTCAAATCAAATCACAATATTAATGTAAAAAAGGGAATAATTAAATCCTTATACGATAGAGCCAAAATTACTTGTTCTAACGAAAATTCGTTCTTGGAGGAGAAACATTTGTTAACATCTGTTTTATTAAAAAATGATTATCCTTTATCGTTTATAAATAAGGAATTTTCAACAATCGAGCGAATAGAACAGAACAACTTAGAACGAGATCCTACAGCATACACAAGGAATAATATGAGGAAAATAACAATACCGTACATAAAAGGATTATCAGAAAAACTTAAAAGGATAGAAAATAAATTCAACATTTCAACAACATTCAAAACAACAAACACGTTGAGATCTATTTTGTCCAAAACCAAACCTAACAATGAACAAGAAAGGACAAAGAATTATATTTATAAAATACCTTGTGAATGCGATCAGTTTTATTTAGGTGAATCATCAAGGCCATTAAATGTTAGAATAAGTGAACATCAATCTTATATTAAAAATAGAGAATTTGATAGATCTCAAATATGTAAACACGCATGGGATAATGAACATAGGATTCAATGGAATAATTCAAATGTAGTCCTAAAAGAAACGGATGGTAAAAAAAGAAAAATCAAAGAAGCGGCTCTAATTATGCTAAATGAGGCCAATTGTGTCGCAAATTCCTCGGCAGAATGTAGTAGGTATCTGGTTACCTATATTGAAAGAGGAAGTTATTAATAAGAAAATACCAGTATTAGTAAGTCAGTAACATATAGAGGATACATCATTTATGTTTTTAAATAACGTAACATATAAAATCAGAATTTTGATGTTTGTTGAAGGTAAACTAAATTCACGAACAAATACTTACAATGTCGGGATAGTATTATGAGGTTTTTTTCCTGGTTTTTCCCTCATAATTTACTATGGAATCACTAACAGGAGAATTTTACTGTCATCATGTCATGTGTTTGTCTTTTTAAAGACGAATTACATGCTATGATTTTTTTCTGACGGATATTCTCAAGTTAAAGTTGATTTCATGTAATCGAATGAACTATCTTATAAGTAAAGTCGTCCAGGAGCGCAACTCAACAATATTGGCAATATCATTTTAAAGTCGTCTACTTTAAAATGCATAATGTATGTCTGAATTGTCAATATAAATGAGTCAGATAAAATTAAATTATTAGAAGAATTTTTCACTATGTAACAAAAAACAAAATTTGTTTAATTTACTGTTTGTATTTTGAGAACGATTTCCGAAGTGGAAATTGAAACGTCAATAAACTTATTTTTATCTTTAAATTGTGGCTTATTCCCAGTTAAATAGTAATTATATGTTGCTTAACAGTTGCACAACATTTTCAATATTGTGAAAATTAGCAAATCGGTTTTTTAAATTCCAAATCAAGTTATTACATAAAACGTGAAAACTACGTAACATCAATAACTTTATTACCATCACAAACGGATATTTTAAGGAGAGGAAAATGCAAAAGTTCAATCTTTTTAGAAAAACTTCTAATATCTAGAAAGTTCACAAACAAGCTTTCCCTTGTATTATAGTTTTAAATTCAAGACGTCAGATGTCTGAAGATATTCGGCAAAAATGCGATAGTTGCATCGTTTTCTGTGTCCAAGAGGAAGCCCAAATTATCATTTGCAGCTTCATTCAGCATCAATAGCTGCAGCAGCATCAATAGTGGACAGAAATTCTTTTATGTTTAGCATTACGAGTCGACACAGTTGAGCTAAGCAAAATATTACAGGCGCTTAAAGAATGCAGGCTAGATTATAGATATACCAAATTATTATACAAAATATACCTGCAACTGGCAACAAACCACTGTCAAATTACATACTAACAGTAATCGCATAAAAATAAAACGGGGGGGTTAGACAAAGAGACCAATGTCACCTAAACTTTTTATTACGGTGCTAGAACATGCTTTTAAGAATTTGGATTGGATGACAAAGGGAATAAAAATAGATGGAGAATATCTAAACAACTTACGTTTCAAATGAGATCGTAGGCTTCCACGGCCAGAGTCAGAATTATAATTTATTCGTCTTCCGGGTTTGGACGTGTCATTTGTAAGTGACCCAAAAGTGGGTTTCATCTCGACGTTTCGCTTACATTGTATGTAGCTTCTTCAGGAGAACAAAGAAAAAGAAAACAAAAGACAGGAAGATGGGTAGTTAGCAACGGAAACTCAGTTACTCAACGCAACAGAGGCGAATACTAACTACCAAGATGGGCATTTGGTCACAGTAACTCAACTACTCAACGCAGCCAGAGGTGAAAACCAAATGCCAGGACAGGGATTCACGTCCAACAGCTCAGAACACCAACGCGTCGAGAGGCGGGGAGTGAATCCTCGGGGAGTGGCATGTAATGTGGTCGTCTGAAATGGATAGGGCATGTAATGTGGTTGGAACAAAATTACTCACCTAGAACAACGCTTTTTAGTAGACCCATTGGTCAGAGAAGAAGGGAAAGACCCAGAACAAGATTCCTTGATAACATGGATGAAGACATGAGAAATATGGGAATACGTGCATGGCGAAGAAAGGCGAAGGATAGGGACGAGTGGAGAGAAATTCTTGAGGAGGCTAGGACCCACGCATGGCTGTAAAGCCAGAATGATGATGATGATACATCTTTATGTATAGTGCTTCCCCACCGTATGTTATAGTTCTGCACATATTCCGTCTTCTTCCGCTGTTTTCATGTTTTTAAGTTTGCATATTTTTTCTTTCAATTCTGTATAGGTCAAGTCTTCGTCTTCTTTATCTTGTTCTGTGTTCGTTATTGTTTCTCTTTCTTCTTCTTTATCCATTTATTGATAGATATATTTCTTCAAAATATTTTTACCATTTTTCTGCTTCTATAACTATATTAGCTGTCACTTTTCGGTTACCTAGTTTTAAGTATTGGTACAATGGTTTTGAGTTGTGTCTTTTATTTTCCATTTCTATCATTCTATTTTTTTATTCTATATTTTTTTTCATTGCTTGCAGAAGTAGTTCATACGTTTG